TTGATTTTATGTTTAATATAACCACTAATAAATGATTTGCAACTCTATATGAGAAGGTTAAAAAACATGAGATTTTAATTGGCTAAAAAAAATTTTTTTGAACAGTTAATATGATTTTATATTAAGTGATGTTTATTAAAAGAGAGAAGTTATGTTAAACATAGTTTTAACTTGGTATGGCCTAATTCTTAATATTGCATATAATATACACATAATTTTGGTCAAAAACTTGCATAATTCTGCATAATTTACAACTTGACGCATGCATAATTTGGTCACCCTTGCAACATAATCCTGCCATAAGTAAATTCGAATACGTATCATGAAATTCCATACATATCTATCCTACATAATTTTCTTTTTGTTGACTGTATAAGTAAAAATAATAATTAATTTTCATGTGGTCTATTATCTTAATCTGAATAATCTTTATCATACAGTATATATTACCAAAAGTGATCAGATTTCTAAATAACGCCAATGGGTGCTCCGAAATAATATGCACCTGATACAGGTCACTCTCGATATAACGTAGTGCCTCGGGCACATAGTGAGGAATTTTTTAAAATCCGATCCATTATGTCAAGATTTTACTTAGTCTCCGTTATATCAAGAGTCTGTTATATCGAGAGTGACATGTATAATATGGCACTATGACTTTATATATAGAAAATTGGCATTTTGTCTCGAAATAACGTACTTACATACGTGCATGAATAACGCGCAGATTCCCATTGTTTCGAAACCATTCTCCTTAACGCTACTACATATTATTTAATTATTGTTTTGTATCTAAAGTCAAAGGTTTGAATTAATTCAAATCAGGGCTAACACGACATATATGATATAGTAAATTCTAATCATCCAAAAAGTCGTTTTTGATCCATTTAAATTAACAGTAATATATTAAAATAATATTAAATAGCTAATAAAATGTTTTATATTATTATTGTTATTGTTTTTGATCGCATCAAGAAGATGACCGGAATTTACTATATGTCGTTTTAGCCCTGATTCAAATATTTTGAATTAAACGTTACAAAAATTAACGGAAGTTTATATATAAGATCTATTTTATTTATATACATATGTATTATTTTTTGTTGATTTTATATATTATATGTATAATATACATGCATACAATGTAACTTGTGTATTTTAAAAAAAAACCAATAATATCGGTTGAACTAGTTATGTTATGGAACTATATACATGTGTTCGTTATTTAAACTTGTTATTATAAGCTATAGTAAATAAATAACTAGATTGTAGATAGTATATGATAACTAATATATATTCTATAAATCATTTATCTAAAATGATAAGGAAACGAAATAATCTAATAAATATAATTAATATTAATAAGGGTTAAATTAATAATTTTTTAATAAATTTACTATATTTTACTAATAATAAGATTATAAATTAAATATTATATTTTTGTAATTTGAAACACCTCATAATCATCAATCTTATTAATCGCATTGATAAAACTTCTAATACCCGGATAGGTTTTAAATCCATTACATCTAGCTTGATTATTAACGAATATCAGATCAATTCCACCACCCCATCCCGGACCATAATTAGAATTGTAATAAACCGCTTTATGTTTATCAGCTACTCTCGCTATGTTAACATTATTAATAAGTTGCTTGTTCTTGAAAGAGAATATAAAACTATCGGTGGTGCATAACCAACTATCATTGGACTTTATTGGAAACCCTTGTTCGAAATTAATTGGAGTATACGCGCCTATAATTTGACCAGTTTGAAATACTTTTGAAATTATTATTGTAGGACCTTTCTTATCGCATAATTTGTGAAAAGTATTTGCACCAAAACCATCTCTGCTTGCTCTTAATAATAAAGATAATTTGTAAGAAGGACGTCTATTTTGATAATAGTTAAATTCTTTTTTATCTACCCAGCTTGAAATTATATTAACATGATCTTGATCTATGATGACAGAGTCCAATAGTGGTAAGTTTTGCATTGACCTATTCAAGGTTAAAGAGTAATTAAGGGTAGAGGTGTTCATTGTGTGATGACGTAAGATGTCTTGAAATAATGATTTAGATAAAATTTTTTCGAAAGGGTAAACATCTTGAAAGAATTCATCAGAAGGAATATCCATCCATCGAATCAACGGAATAAATTGATCCAGAATTGCTTTTAATTTAGCAATCGTTTCGGAAGATAAATTCGACAAGTTTTTTAAAGGAATTATATAACCCCAGCAATCTACAGGCATCTTGTTGTTTGTTATTTTTGACATACCCCATAATATTAAATATTTCCAAATATCGATTTCCTTTACGCCAAGATCATCACAACTGAGTATTAAGAATAAGACAGATTTATCCAACCAAAGATATTTTTGAGTGCAGAATAATTCATCAGAATTTTCACATATTATTTCTAAGCAATAATTTTGAAGTGTTGTACAAGATTCCAAATAAAGTATAGTTTCAAGGACGTGAGCGGCAAAGTTGCGGACGAAACAAGTCTTTTTTTCAATTAAATGATCTTGTATGTAGCTTATTAATTTTTGCATCCATAATTCTTCAGCTGCTATTAGGATCTGGAGTAATTCAGGGCCGGTAGAATTATCAAGGTCGATGAATGCAGTATACATGTAACTATTAGAAAAAGAGTAAAAAATCGAGTGATAAATATATTATTTAAAAAAGGTATAAAAAGATTACAAAAGATTATAGAAGGATTATAAAAAGATTATATGAAATAAATAAATATATAAAATAATTACTTGAGTATTATTTGAAAAAAACGAGGAGAAATCGAAGGTTCTTTAAAAATGATGAAACCACCTTCTTTATGGGTCCAATTACTGGAAATAGCTGCACGAAAATAAGGACATCTTGCGCTCAGAATAATTGAATGAGCTTTAAACTCTTTCATATCATTTCCATCACCCGCTTGTATTATAACGTCGTGACCAGTACAATTCTTGAGAATATAACCCAAATCGCTAGAAAGATCTGTTAAGAGAATCGAATTCATTTTTTTATTTATGTTAAGATCTAAACTTGATTAACTGAATTAAAGCTTTTTATATAAAATTTTTAGGCTTTTAGGGACAAATATTTATTCTATCCCCATTTTTTGGTTTGCAATTCTAAAATAAAACAAAGAATTATTTTTAGATACTTGACATTAATAATAGTTTAAATATTAACCGATAAGGGTGTCAAAAAAAGTATGTATCACACAATGCGCCAGTATGTTCTATAAATAATATTTTTTTTTACGTACGAAATTAAAAGAGTAAGCTGATAAACAATTGCTATTGGTTATGTGAAAGTCTTTTTTATATCGTGTGATTTTTTAATAAATCATGAATACTATATTAGATGAATAATGAATAATATTTATATTATTTGAAAATTACCTGTTTCAGTGACTTTTGATTCACCGCAGTAAGTTCAACGACAAATTTGTCATAAATGAATGAAATGAATGATTTGTTGTGATATCAAATCATATAGTATGTATTAAGCAATATAGATTAACTATACCTAACAGTGAAATTATGAATTTAATGTTAGTAAAATTTATTAATACTTTTAGATTCGTCGAAACAAATGCAGTGTACAAGCAGAGTGATTGTCTCCTGATTCTCCTGGTCTCCCTAATTCTCCTGACTATCTTATTTCTTAAGATTTTATTATATTAAATATATACGCATTAAAAATTGCAGATTATTAATAAAGAAATAAACTCAAATTAAAGTGTATCAGATTCATTAAATTAACGGTAATTTCTACTTTATGAAACTTGTTTTTTTTTAAAAATAAACTCAAGGGCTAACTAAAAATGTCTTATAATAATCACTAATATATACGTAGTAACAATGCACTTATACCATATTGATACAATTCTCACGAGCTTAAAAATATCCTAATACATTCAACTCATTAAATGCACATATGTTTATATATATGTACTTCGAAATTATATAGATTTAAGGTTGGAACCGTTTAGCCAAAATTGTTTCATAGTTCCGGGTTGAATCATGTTTGTCGCTGAATTAAACGGTTAAACGGTTAGACGATTTCCAATTCCTATTTAGAATTCAATCAATTTTTAATAAAGGGAAATTCTATTTTGACCCGAGTCAAAATAACCTGACAGGGATATTTTCGTATTGCATAGCACAAACTATTACAGATCCGTAATAGTTTGTATTATACAATATGAAAATACTGTTGGGTTATTTTCCCTTTAATAAAATCAATTATATCCTAAATTATAATTCTTACCAAAATTCATTTTATTATTAAAGAATAACCGAATCCCTGAAATATATTTTTTTTAAATTGAACTTTCTATATAAATTTTACATATCTACTTGATAGAAAATAGATTCGAATTGCATATCTGCTAAATAGATTCAAAATTAACTTAATTCAAAATTCTTTAACCACCTGGACGGATTTTTTCAAAAGTATATCTAAACAGAAATCAGATTTAGAGAGATTCAATATCGAAGTACAATAATGTATTCCTTTGAACTCATGGATCTATTGTTAACTATAGTTGGATATATGAATACGTTACAGCAGTACAATAATGCAGGAACTTTTTTATGATCTTCTATTTGTAACCCTTTGTACTTAATAGAAAAAATTTGCTAGTCAACACTAAACTTAGAAGTAGATCCATCAGAAATTTAACAAAAGGTCACGTTCATGAAACAATAAAGAATTTTAGGATTATTTTCTTTCTTTTATCGATTTCTCTCGGGATCAAATTCCTTTAAAACTGGAATTCCAATTCAGATTACTAATGATTGCGCATCTGCGTTATCATACAGTTTGCTAAAAAGAATTGTACCGCAGAAATGTTACCAAGAACTAAATTACTAAATTTGTCTAATATAGACGTTGATCAAAATGCGTAGTAAAAATTTGAAATTATAAATAACGACAATGATAAAAGTGGTTTGTCATAATACCATAAGAATTAAGAAAAAAAACATGTCAAACTGTCCCTTAACCGAATTGTCCAAAGATTTTGGTCTGCTTCTTGATAATGGTTACAATTCTGATGTGATCATTCAAGCAGGAGATGGAAACGATATTAAAGAATTTCGTGTGCATTCGCTTATTCTGAGTGCACGATCACAATATTTTCGCACTGCTTTATCGAATATTTGGGCTCGAAAAAAAGGAAATGATGCCGTTCTCAAAAAACCGAATGTTACTCCAAAAATCTTTCAGTTGCTATTAAAGTACGTATATGATTAAATTTATCTTAATGTTAAATAATATTGAATGCGTATATGCATCAAAGATAAACTAACACTAATTTAACCCAACTAAATTTAGTTATTTGTATACAGGAGTCATAAATTTTGATTCTTTGGATGGAATTATAATCTTACAAATCTTAATTGCTGCTGATGAATTAAACTTAGGTCCTCTTTTAAATCGTGTTAATGATTACTTGATTAGTAAACATGCTGAATTCTTACGAAAAGATCCTGGTCAAATACTTAAAATCATCTTTAAATATGAGTCTTGTTCAAAATTAAGAAATTATTGCCTTGAAACAATTAGTGAATTTCCGGAAATACTTTTTAGTTCGACTGATTTTCTATCTTTGGATAAATCAATATTTCTCCTTCTTCTTGAACGTGACGAATTAAAAATGGAAAATATAGAGATCTGGAAATATATGTTAACATGGGGTGCCGCTCAAATATCAAATACTTTCACCATAAATAATGTATCACAAGATATTTCTTGGTTAAAAGATTTACTTCAAGATATCGATATTTCTTCGTTAAAAGATTTACTTCAAGATCTAATTCCATTAATTAAATGGCTTGAAATTTCTTCTGCTGCATTTTGGCAAAACGTTGTTCCTTTCAAAGAAATTTTTCCGGATGATCTTTTATGGGCTATCATAGGTTGTCATCTTGATCCTACTGATGAATCTATCTTAAAATCGTTACCTCAGAGATGTTTAAAAAGTCTACCATTATTTGATTCCGTAATCTTTGATTCCAAGCGTTTTTCGATTATCACAAGTTGGATTGAAAAGCAAGATATAAATCATTTCGAAAAAAGAAACCTTCCTTACTCATTCTCACTTTTACTCCGTTCTTCTCGAGATGGTATATCATCTGATAAGTTTCATCAGTTATGTGATAATAAAGGTCCTATCTTAATGATCTCAAAAATTCGTCACAATGGACAAATAGTCGGTGGATATTGTCCAATTGATTTAAAACCTGGTTCAGTCGTGCGCCAACATGAAAGTTGGTTGGCTTCACCTGATAGCTTTGTATTCTGCTTTACCAACACTAATTATTGTCTTTCTAGAGTTGTGGATCCTCAAAAAGCTATTCATTATAATCCACATACATGCATAGGATTTGGTAATCAAGATATCTTGCTTAACAACAACCAAATACGTAGTCTTTCTGAATCTTGTTATTCGAATGTTAGAAGTGTTTTACGAGGTACTCACCCTTTAGATGATTATGAAGTTTTCCAAGTAATTAGGAAATGACAATATATATGGATAATAGAATTAAAAGAAACTTTACAAACATCATATAGTTTAACTTTACTTTTTATTTATTTATTTACTAGAGTTGTTATTTTATTAATAATTATATATAGATTTTTAATTTTATTTCCTTCTCGAGGACTTTTTTTCACGTTTTCTCATTTCATAGTAATATTTTGGCGGTTTTCTATTTGTAACCATTTTTGGAATCTTATTTAATGGCTTTTTGGATTTATCAGTAGTATCTGCTATTCTTTGTGCCCTTTTTTTATTTGCGACCTCTCTTGCTCTCTCCAATCCTCCTACAATAGTTAGTATTAGTTTTCTTAATTTGTAGATCCCAGATTTTCTTCGGGCAGATACCATCATAGGCTGAGGGACAGCATTTCTATAAACTTGAAGTTGTTCTTTAACAAGAGTATGTCGACGTGCAAGATCTGGTGAGATCACCAGATCACATTTAGTTAAGATTATCTGAAATTCCACATTCTTTCTGGTTCGTTGTATATATCGAGTTAGCTCTTATGTAAAAAAAACAATAATAATTAATTAATTAAAGAAATAAGAATAGATCAAAGTAATTATTAACCGCTCAAGCATTGAAATGAACTCTTTGTCAGCTATTTTAAGACCTGTTTATCAAAAAATCAATTATTTAATATTTTTAAATACATTAAAGTTTGTTTTTCTAAAAATAGCAAAAAAAAAAGAACAAAAATAATAACCATGTCGAGCATCAATTATCACAAAGATCCTTTTCAAAGTTTTCCTTTCCGACACATAAGTTTCTATCTATTCTTTGAAAAATATGGATACCCATTACTTTTTTTGTATTTAATTGTATAATATTAAATTGAATTATAATCGTAACGCACCAATTCTTTCCATTTGATCCTTTCTTCATCTTTAATATAAGCAAATCCGTAACCAGGCATATCAACCATATTAAACATATTACCAGCAGCATAAAAATTGATTTGCTGCGTTAATCCTGGTTTATCAGATGTTCTAACCACTGTAGTATCAGCCAATGCATTGATTAAAGATGATTTACCAACATTAGATCGTCCTAAAATAAAATATAAAAATTTTCCACCTCAATTATATTATATTTATTTGTTATGTCTATTTGTTATGCTTATTTATTATGTTTATTTGTCATGCTTATTTTTTATGTTTATCAACCTCTTACCAACAAAACATAATTCTTGAACCCTCTCGGGTGGGAAAGATGTTGGAACTTTGGCACCCGCAAAAAATGATAAATGAGGTAACTTATAATAAAATATAATGCATAATAATAATAAAACTTTAATGGAATTTGAAACTATTTTTGTCTTTTGTTTTTTTTTGTTAGTTAAGTAAAACACGTACCTCTAATTGTTCATCTCGTTCAAGTGTCAAATCTCCAAGTTTACGTTCTAATCTTTTCTTTCCAATAATGCTCACCTTTTTTCCAAATCGATTCCCTACACAATTTCGAAGTTTTCCTAAATTAAGTGCCTCAATTTCACGTAATGTTTCTTGAGATGGTAGTATTTGCCGAAATTTTTGACGATTAGACAAATTTTTTTGTGCTTTTGATTGGGTATCAGATATTGGTAAGGTAACAAACTTTTTTGTAAGAACTGGTAGCAGACGTGCTTTATCAAGAGGAAATTTTATTATATGCATTCTATTTACATGGCCATGAATTATTGTTTCATTATTTTTAGAGTTATATATGCGGTAAGAGCAGGGTAGATTTTAGATATGATATTTTATATAATTTCTTTGTTACACTGCCGACCGTGCCAATTAAGGATAACGATAATCCCGATGTTATCTTCAGGACCACATCTAATTAGCCTTTAAAATAAGATGTAGCCTCTGGTTTTATACGTATAACCGTAATATAATAAAGTAATTTTTTACAGTTAGGATTAGGGTAAGTATTAATATGGTCTTTTGTTTGTATTTAGAATTAGAGCAGGCTATATGTAGTCATGGCTATATATAGATTTATCCTTAAAATAATAAATAATAGCGATAGTAGTCACTACAACTTTAAATATCTATGTGTGTCTAATCGAGGTATGTACGTACAGGTACATGACACTGCTACAATGGAGATTAGAACCGCTAAAAAATTTTTTAATCGTTTAACCGTGTTGACCTTCTAATTTAGCCAGCATTAAGATAAATATAGTTCATGACAAAATAATTCAGCCCGAAATTATGGAATAATTTCTGTTCCAAACTTAGCGCTACAAGATACGGAAGATCTTTCCATTGACTAATTGTTTATTTATCAAAATTTCATTTGTGTGAAACTGTATTATATTAGAATGAAATGTTGCAAAACATTTATATTTGAAAATGTCATCATTGACTTCTTTGAACCTGGAACTTTATGAAGTCCAGTCAAAAAGATGGCCTGCTACTGGCCGTCATATTATGGCTCAATATGACGAATCTACAATTACTGTTTATCAAGCATTTAAACCTTCCATTGCTCATTATGCTGTTGAAAATCAAAAATTTGGTGGTCCAAGTTTTTCATGGTTTTTATTTTTAATTCATTTAATTCGTTTACACTTCACATTTATCTCTATAAATGCGTATTATTTTTAAAATGTTATCGTCTTTTTTTTTTTTTGTTTATAAGGGAGGTATGAAGTTTAATGATATCACCTAGTAAAGATCTGTTTTATATGAATAACTTTTTTCTTTTGTTGTAATAGAGAATGACGTGGATAAAGCCTAATTTTGCTTGGATGATGTATAGATCTGGATGGGCTACAAAAAAAGACCAAGGAAGAGTAAATAAACAGAATCATACAATTCATCATATGTATGATTTTAAATTTAATATGTATCAATTATTTGTTGCTTTAGATTTTGGCCATCAAAATAACTCTTCAGGGATTTCAAACAATTCTTTCAAATGCAGTCGCTTCAACATATGGGCAAGTTAGAAATATCTTTGCTAGCGAAAAAGAGTGGAATATAGCATTAAAAACTTCAGATATTAGATTACAATGGGATCCTGATCATGGTTTAGTTGGAGAAAAATTAAATCGTAGGGCAATTCAATTAGGCATCCGTGGCAAGTTCTTGGAACAATATTCTAATGAATGGATTCAAAGCATTGAAGACATTACTGAGTTTGTTAAAGAGCAACATAAATTAGTGGTAGAGAAGAAATTTGATCAAGTTATGACACCTTTTGAAATGGTTTATAATGTTCCAAAAGAGCTAAGTAAAAGAATTGGTTTGGAGATTGTGAATGAATAAAATAAATACATAATATACATTTACTAATTTCCCACCAATTTTTATTGGTTAACAATTTCCGTTACTATAAAATTAAACATATGTATTTTCTAGCATGTGGTATTTCAGTAGTGATAAAGTAAAATATACATCAAAGATTTGGCAATAAAGTTTTTTATTGGTATAAAGAAAGTGGTTTTATTGGAAAAATTTATATGCACATGATTTGTTGAAAAATTTGTATGATAATAATTAACAAAATTAGTTAACCAAATAAATGCATTTTCAATAAGAATATTAGCTTTATATATTATATTTATATATATAATACATGTTTATTCGTCTGAAGCATAACGAGTAATCTTTATGCCTAGGTAAAGTTAATAGTTTTAAAACTAATTATAGTTTATTTGTTTAGACTGTTAGACTAGACCGTCTAAGTAAATCATATTTTATAAAAATATATATATGCGTTATCTTTAATATTATCTAAAATTTAATATGATTAGTTATAAAAAATTATTTGATACTAGGCATCTATACTATACTTTTATAATAATGTAAAGGGTATTTATTGTGGCAGTTTAACTTATACTAAACTTTTTTTATATTTTATTATGAAATTTTAAAAAATTTTAGAACCTTTTTTGTAGTGTTTTTTTATAATTAGGTTAGGAGTATTATTAATAAAAAAGCATATATAGATTTTTTTTTTCTTTAAGCAGTCACGCTAGTGCTTTATTAAGATTCTTGGAATTACTTTTGCAATTACATAGATGTACCTAACAACTAAGCCTAGCATCACCTGGCCATCCTAATGGTGCCTAAGTACAATCTGTCACATTACTTCAAGCAGAAGTAAGCTGTTTGTCTGACTACTTAAAGTCCATAATGGGTAGGTATTTTTTCTTCTACAACAAGTTCTTAAATTGGTTTTTTAACCTCATCTTTAATTTGTTTTTCTTTTTTTTTTGTTTTCTTTTTTCTTTCTTCTATCTCTTGTTAATTAGTATTCTTATTTGAATTCTTCTTCTTTTTTTGGTTTTTTTTTCATTTATATGTTATTCTTATTCTTTTTTTTCATGTATTAACTTTTTCACATTATATTCTTTAAACTTGCTTGTAGAAGATATTTCAAGCTGTTCTTACTATTACATTTACAAACTATTGTTTTGTTTTTAAGCTTAAAAGTTGTACTAAACTGTTTTATACTGTTTTTGAAATTAGTTTCTTAATTAGTATTTTCTTTATTTTTATTTTTTCTATTTTTATTTTTTCAAAGAATATTGTATATAATATATAAGATAAGGCTTAGATTTTTTTTCTTTTCTTTTAATCCTTTTTATATTATTATGATAAATATTTTTTGTATTCTTTTCTAAAAACTTGTTTATCTTTTATATAATATCAGATGCTCTTGTGTTTCTTTGATTTTGTTTTGATAGACTTGACATTCTGCAATTGTATATATATTTAATCTTTTTCTGTTAAGTTTTTCTAAGATTATAAGTTTGTTTAATATATATTTTATAAATGTATTTCTTTTTATACTACTTCTTCTTATTATATAATATATTTCTTTGGTTAACTTCAATCTTTTCTAAAAGTATATTTAATTATAGATTATTAGTTTTATTACTGATTTTAGATTTATGTTTGCTGTTATGCTCTTCATTACATTACTAATCTAATATTTGTTACTATTTATATAAAAATCTTACTAGTATATTTATTTGTTTGTTTTCTTATTCTAGGTAGTACTTTATCTTTTTTAGTTAATTTCTTTTAAATATATTATCTTCTTGCTTAATATTTCTTTCTTTGTAAGCCTATTAGCTTTATTATTCTATTTGTCTTTATTATAACTTTTTATTTTAAACTACTCTACTTGTATATTTTTTGTTCTAATTAGATTAATTATCTTTATTATTTATAAAATATTTTTCTTTTAAAAATTTTATTTCTATTAATACATTCTAAACTTCTATTAATATTTATAATTATAACATTATTATCTGTAAATATTTTTAGTTTTTTTCTTTTAGTATTAATAAAATTGCTTTTTATATTATTATTAACTTAGCTATAATTGATATTAGTTATCTTTTTACTTTTAATATTATCTTTTTTTCTAGCCAATCTTGTGTTTTACTTATATGTATCTATCTTATATCTATGTTTTTATTTATTGTTTTTTCTTTGTTTTTTATATTTACTATACTGTCTGTATATATTATATATTTGTCTTTGTTTTTTAATATTTTTTTAGAATTTTTCTTATTTCTTTTTTTTTTTTTTTATTATGCCAAAGTAGAAACTTTATTGGGTAATAGAAGTAATTACATTAAAGATTTCTAAACTACATTTGTGCTACTTATTTAAGACACCCAATGTGACATTACATCTCCATTTCTATATAACATTATTATTAATTATTTCAAATTAATTTTAAGCACAGAAAGATTGAAGAAAATCTAAGATGATAGTCTTGGTATTTAGTAAATACAGTTAGTAAGTATATAGCCTAGAATTAATCAGTTTTTAATAGATATAGTTGGATTTATAATAGGTGTATTGATAATATTAAAATTTTTTTTTTTTAAATATTAAGGTGAATACATGTGATCTAGAATTTTACTGATAATATAAGTTGGCCAGTGTCTGTACATGTACAGACACAGAGGCAATTACAGAAAGAGTGTACAACTAGTCACTCATACAACTTTAGTCATTGTCTAATTTAAATAGTCTGCCTGAAGGTTCTACACTAGTTGCTATACCTAGAACCCATCTGTAGATCCTCTATTTAAACACTCTGATCCTGCATTTACCACACCCTACCAGTGACTCCAGTAAACTGGTGAAGATATGCCATGGTTACTAAGTTATGTTTAACTTTATACTAAATCTACCAGTGCATTCTGTATTCCATACTTACAGCTCACCTAGTCACACTTTGGCCTAAATCATCACTTACAGTTAGGGCTAATCATTAAATCACTTTTTACTCTTATAAGGTTTACTCAAAACCCTGGTATTCATCTTTCCAACATCCTCTCCATTATCCCCTACTAACCACTACTTAGGACTAACAAGACTCCCCAGACTTTTAATCCAAATGGCCTGGTATGATATACCTTAGTATCCTTTTTCTTCGATAATTCCAGCAGCCTGGTTAGTCATATGCTTCTCTACACATCTTGCCATCCAGTTTATCCGCCTATCCCTTTGGGAGTGTTTCATGGGCTTCCATTAGTCTGACAGCACTGTCAAAAGTTTTGTGCTACCTCCTTACTCGGGATTTCCAAGTGGGTTTCTGACTCTTCAGTTCCTTTGCTTTCCACGCCTAGTGGTCTTATCATGAGTTTGCACCAAAGTCTTATGCAACATTATTTATTAACATTCTTCTATGTGGGTATAATATTACACTTAGCATAGATGCTCCGAGCTCCTATTCAAAATGGTACAACAAAGGTTACAGATACACCAATCCAACCAATTGACAGAGACAGTTATCATAACACAGATCTATTTTCCAAAATTTATCATCTATGAGATTTGAACTCTAGATCTGCCATTTGGGGGTTGACAATCTGACCACTTCACTAGGTCATCACACCCTGGTAATATTAAAATTAAATTGAGAAGATAGAGTTAAAGAATATATTTTTGAATATTTAGATTTTTTAGTTATATTATAAGCTTTTTTCTATTGTTGTTAAAGAATGTTATATGATAGTCATATATGTTAGTAAAACCAATTTAAAGTAACATTTGATAGGACTATAAAGAAGAAAGATGTTGTTTTATGAAGTAATATTTTAATATTGTTGTAATAAGATATAGAGAAGAGGCCTTTGATAAGATTAAGAAAATAAGAGTGTAGTGGAGTATTTGTTTGTTATGACAAGATAATATATATTTTATCTGAAAGTTCAAAAAAGTTATTTAATTGCTAAGTAGTATTTGAAATTAAAGTTTGAAGGATTTGTTTAGAACATGTAAAGAGATATGATATATCTTCAAGAATTTGACAATAGACACAATTTAAAGTAGTATATAAGAGTAAATATTGTAAGTTAAGGTTTTGTATAATAGATAAGTTGTTATTAATAATTTTAAGATGAAAAGTATAAAATTTTTAATCATTATTTAAAGAATTAATAATATTAACATTTGTTAACTATGTAATAGAAAATAGGTTTTGGAAGAATTTAAGTTGTGACCAAGAGAGAAGTAATTGTATAATAATTGTATTTTGTAGAAATAGTTGAGTTTTAGTAAGTATTGTGTAATTATGTTATATAAAATGATCAAGAAGTAATATTGTAAAGTTGGATTTAATTAAGTGTTTAGAGGTATCTTATTTAGCTAAGAGATTAGCTTGATTATAAAAAGAATTATTAGAGTAGGATTTAACTTTGTAAAAGAAGATTTTAAGAGATTTTGTTTGAATAAAATAGTGAATAATAAATAAAATATCACAGTTTTTAATATGTAAAATTTGTGTAAAGAAGAAAATAATTAAATGTTTTTTAAAGTTGATAGATTGTTAAGATATATATTACTTTATGAGTTTATTAGAATAATGAGTAGAAAATAGACAATTGCTTCAAGTTTTGCTCAAGTAGAGTTAGGATATGAAGATATTGCATAGTTAAATTTAATTTAAGTATTATATTCAGAGATCCATCCAATACCAATTTTTGGATGTGGTGTTTGTGCATTAATAATTAAAGAATCTGTATAGAAATAAGTATTATCTGAAAGGTTTTTACTTAATAAAAATAGATTAGTAAGTTAGTTTTGGTAATGAAAGAAAGATATGTTTTTTTAGATTATTTGAATTTCTGTGTTAAAAATGTAAATAGTTGGTAATTAAAATAATATTAGAGTTGAAATTACATGTTGTTGAATATTAATAAGTGCATGAATTTCTTAATTATCAATATAGAGTTAATAGTTATTATTCTTTTTTAATGATATAATATAAGAAATATTAATAAAAGTCTGAAATATTG